CAACACTTCTACAATAACACGCAGTACCATAAATGAATGAGGTTAGCACTGTCATACATAGAAAACGTGCATTATTCTGTACATGAAATAAATATGGCACATGGAAAGCATATGGTTTGATAATATAGCTCAGTGATAATTTGTTGCACTATATGTGTAATGGTGATGAGAGTTACTGTATGCTCCACAGTGTAACCCAGTTCTTCTGTAGGCAGATAATTAATTTACATTTAAAACCCCCTGTATTTAGTATCTGCAGTCTTGAGATTGACTGTTGTGCTCATTTTTCAGCATTTGCTTGCTTTGGCTTTGACGTGAAATCAACACTTATTTTTATTTCCACATATTTGTTAAAGCCTGGCATTCAGCCCAACTTTCTTCGTACAAGGTTTGGTGGTAAAACAACTTTAGAACTGAAATGATCGATTTATCAATTAATCATTAGACAAAAATGCATTGACTATGACTATTCTGATACTCAACTGTCATTGTTCAAGCAAAGGTGCCAAGTGCCACTACAACCCATTGTAACTGGAGCTTTCCAGTTTGAGCAATCACTGCTTTTCTGACAGGTCTTTAGGTTTTTAACTCAGGAAAATTGTTCATAAAGTTACAGTATGAAATATTTTTAGTAGAAATATCCCTCTATGATAGAGCCGCAAAGTGTTTTTTGTGACCCAACCTTTCTGTGGACATGCAGGGTGCACTCTTTTGTTCCCTGACGATGTTCACAGACTGTTATTACTGCTAGCTGTAAATGTGCCGTGCCTGCCTATCATGCAGGGGAAGCTGCTATACAGTTGTGCTGTGTTTACAGTAGACATGAAACAGGGCAGACATTTTGGTGATTATTCTAATATTCATCAGTTGAATGCTGCCCCCTAACTTGGTCCATTTCTTTCAGATTGTGACTCTGTGTGACTGGTGTGTGTTGTGTGTCTCAAGTTAGCACTAGCTTGATTTTAAAATGTTACAAATTCTAACTTTAATGGAGTAAAATAGATTTTAAATGAAATTAGTGAAAAATAAATCCCCAAATGAATTGATAATTCTACCCCTAAACAACTTCTGACAGAAACCAGTCATAATACAGTACATACAGTATAAAGTAAATATAAATAAAGACAAATTTAGACATAAGAACAAGTGACAACTGTTTAATACTCTCACCATACTCATTTTTGTATCATCACTGGGCAGCTAAATAGAAGGCTATCTTTGATCTGATAAACAAGAAAATCTACTGAATTCCTGTAAAAAGGTTCAAATGCACATGATCTTCCAAGGCAAGTGTTACAGCCAATCCATCCACTGATCACGACAGGCTAGAGCCTCTCTCAGTGAGGAAGAGGCACGTATAGCTTGACAGCTGTCAGTCTGTCATAAAACTAACACATATGGAAAGACCAACACATCTACAGTCACATATATATAGACTGAACCAGAGCTTCTTTGGTTTTTGTCTCTGACCGACAGTAAATACGATCTGAGAAATACCATATTAAAAAGTTGTTTTCATTTTGAGATCAGTTCCTCGCCACAATTCCTGGTGTGTGTCAACTTACCATAGTACTATACTATCTGTCAAACCAGTGGAAAACACACTGTCAGTTGTATCCATTGATAACTGTGGGTGTTCATCATTAGTCATCTGCCAATGATACCAAACTCCTTCACTCACTTTGTTGTTGCTCAACCATTATTATATACAGCATGGGCTCATAGGGGCTGGTAGGATGTGCCACACACACACACACACACACACACTCATCATAAACTATAATATCTGTCTCAATGGGTAATACAGCATGCAACAGGAATGTATGGATCAATGAGTGAAGAGTAGTGCTGAGTATCAAACTTCAATACTTTTATAGTATCGATCATATCGCTTCAATACCATTGAATACTGAAAAATGCTTTTGTACATTTTTATTTATTGATGTTAATGTTAACAGAATAATGTTGTGATAAATAGGTTTACCTTTTATGTTATGAAACTGCTTTGATTGCACAAAAATGCCAAGGAATTGAAAAATCTAACCACTGGTCTGTACCAAAATGTGTTTATATACCAGTATCAAACATTTTGGAATGATACCCAGCCCTAGTGAAGAGATACACACATGCAGCAGTTAATGCAAGCTTCTAAAAACACATATATGCACATACACACACACATGCAGAGGGAGCCGGTGATGCATGAGATAGATACATTATACATCTGGCTTACAACAAAATGGAAGTGATATAAAGACAGGCAAAATAAAAAGTAAAAGACACACAAGGCAGGGGGGGTTGTGGCATCATTGATCTGTAGCTGCAAACAGAAAATAGGAAAAAGACGAGACCAGAAAAACACACACAATCACATGCACAGACTGACCGGATATTGCAGTGTAACGTGTTGCTCCGAACAGATATTATTGTACTCCACAGAATGGGGATCAATAGGTCTTTCCAGAGTAGAGCAGGCACCGGTCATCATGTTTTCCCATCTAGTGATCTGTCAGATGGCTGTTACATGTAAATGTAGCTCCTTTACAGTTCTGTTGTAAACAATTGGGATCTATGTCTGTGTCGCTGCAAAGACCAAGCAATCAACTTACTTTATCTGTAAGAAATAACCTGTTGCTGATCTTAGGTGAAGATAGTCGCCAGAGTGTCTGTGGTGCATTGTAGAAACTCTTAACCTAAACAGTCCTGGTAAGAGTTATTGAGAACACACAGTAACAATGTACTGTTTTTAAATGCCCTAAATAAGAAAAGAGCAGTGACAGTCTGTGTTTATATAAAGCCTTAAAGCATATTTATTTGGATTATCCCTCAAAGGAGTGTTTTAGCAACAAGCACTGGAGCTAAAAAGCAGGCCTGTTTTTGGAGTCTGTGCTCTTAACGGAGTCCATAAGCGAAACAGAAATAAAAGATAAATTCACCAACAAAATGCAAAACACAGGACTGGGACAGTATATGACTCCCAAAAGGGGTGAAAATGTCTTTTAATGCATGGACTAACACTAAACAACAACAAAATAAAGGCTTTTCATGTTTTTGATACTGAAAAACTTAATGTTTTACTGTAAAGATGAACATTCCTGCAGTTTATGTACAGAAAGTAAACGCTATACTACTGTTACTGATTATCCCGTTACAGTAATTAAACTAATGAATATTAAAACAGCAGAATTCATTATAATGTAATGGCTTCAGGGATATTTTGGAAGAGTAGGTGGTGATGATGAATATGTTCCTACTTGTGGCAGTGTAACAGCTACCTCACGGGATGCTCGGCACCACTTGAGACACCCTGACTCTTGTGTGTAAAAATGGGTCGCAATAGAGGTACAGAAACAACAGAACAAACAATATTGTTTGCCTTAATTAAAAGCCAGGACTACAATCAGTGACACTGCTACACCTTATGACTGTGACGTATATCTGCATTGAAAGATTATGGGAAAGCACATTTGTATAGCACATCTCATACACAGAGGCAACTGAAAGTGCTTTACATACTGTAGCTCAGTTATGTTATTCCATCTATAACTGGAATCCTTGTTATCAACGTAAGATTCCCCAGCAGTCCCAGACCTATGTCACTTCAAGTTAACATTTCAAAAGCAATAGAGCTTAAAAATGTGACCCTTCAGTTTTGAGACCCATCATGTACTAAAGACCTGTTCCGGTTCAGTGAAAGGCCAGCAGCCAAAGGGCTACAGAGCCAAAGTGAGCTGTCACTGCCTCCAGCATGGGTATGCTCGTGCATTAGTTTGTGCCTTTCCATTTGCACTGAGCACTGTTTCTCTGTTCTGTGTATGAACACGACTGATGAACACTACGTCACATATAGACCCAGCAAGACATGCAAACAGCATCAGTGACAATGATACAACAACTCATCTGCTATGACCCTTTGGTAAACAGCTGCATGAAGGCCACCTGTGGCATGAACAAGCTCGCACACAGCATACATTGAAAATTGGCCTTATTGATTTTGCAGGTCTTGGTGTCATCACTATGTATGGACAGTGCAGATAGAACCAAAACCACTTGTTCAGCATGCAGCCTGTATTTCTGTCTGCCTCCTTCTCTCTCTTTGACCACACAGGTCAACAAGAAATGAATCAGAAGACACAACAGCGAGACTTCCAACTATAGACTACTTTTGCCAACATGCACATGAAATTCAATACTTATGCACTTGCATTTAGTACAACAAAGGCAAGTCAAGAGGCCATGCAGACCCTACAACTGCATTCTTCAAGTAGAAATGCACAAATAAACACTGGTTTTCCTCAACTTTCATCTTGTATCAAGCTTATTTCTGCTCCGTGTGTGCAGAATAGAGAGTCAGTCTAATTTCAGTGGTGCAGCACACAGGTAGGATTATTTTGTCCATTCATTAATTGCTCCCAGAGCATGAAGGAGATTGTACCATTGACATCCTGAGCTGCAATTTCAGATCCATGCAGATGTGGTTTATGCATTCATTCAAAGTGTGTAAAGCATTCTATAAAAAAAAACAACTCACCAAATGTAATGCATGCCAGCACAACTCAAGCATGAGTGTCTGCTGCCACCGTGGCAGATGTGCTCACCAAAGTGCCTCTTCTCTGTAAAGCAGGGAACCTTGGTCCCAAGTTCAAGTGCCTGTACGGCTCCATGTGTCCTTGAGCAGGACACTAATGCCACTAACTGCTCAATAATATAGTTTAGTTTTACTTACACCTTGGTTTATTTTATTGCTAAATAAGTGTAATAGACTAATACAAAGAGAGTTAAGTGTTCCATTATCATTTCCTGGTGCAACACATTGAACAAAAGCAAAATAAGAAAAATACAATATAAAAATAAAGGACAATAAATCTTTTCTCATCCATTATTGTTTTTTTCTATTTTGTAATTAAAAGCATTTTTGATACATTTGTTTAATTTGTAGGCTAAACATCAACATGATAGTGGAAAGAGAACATTTCAACATAAAAATGTCCTCCACTTACCCAGTAATGTTTGGAAGAAGAATAAGATCCTTACAGTTACAAGACAAAAGCCTTCTCTGCCTTTTCCAGCTAGTCTCACGTCAGTTCAGTGTTTTGCTCCAAAACAGTTCCTCTCTCAAGTCACCTTCGCGTTAACTGACCTCTCTCTGTTCAAGAAGATGAATGAACCGCTGCGTCTCCCTTGCCAACACGTTTGCATAAAGGCCGCCTCCCCCGCGCGACGATTAGTTAGGGTGCAGTGGGAGGGAGGCTCCTCTTCCTCTGATTCGACGGAGCGCTTGTCAATTAAAGAAAAGCGAGCGGTCTGATTGGACAGGCGTCTTTTCTGTAACGAATGCACATGATAATTGTTCTGTTTAAGAGGCATTTCTCCCAGTTCCACTTAACCTGTCCTTCACATAATATAGAGGTGTGAGTGGGAGTGTTTTGGAGACGTGAGTTCAGACTGAAATGACTATGCTTCATAAGGCCAAACAAAACCACTTACTGAAAAACTGTTTTCAACAAAAGATCTGTTTTGGAACATGCGGAGCCACATTATCCTGCTAGAGGCCCTTAGGCAAGAATGACTGACTTCTGGGACCCCATTAACTTCCAGTTGTTTTTTTCTTTATTCCACATTAATTAAGGAACAAGAGTTTTATTATCACAAAACTGGAATAATGTAGGCCTTTGACACAGGGAGTCAAAGTTAGGGGGAAATGACGATCTCAAAGCTATGACTAAACTTGGACATTTAAATTTATGTATGTCCTAATGTATGTGCACCTCTTTATAAAGGTGAAATATATCCTCTGAAGGGCATAAGTTTCTGTCTTCATTAAATTTGAGTTTAAAATGTGCACAAGTCTTTAAAAGTATTATATGTCATTTTACAAAATTAAGGTTATAAAAATTCTCACTTTTACTCATGAGATGACTTAAATTTTGAAATGAGATGAACTGAGACTGATTACTTTCAAATTCTGGATTTTACAAAATTTTAATGACTGACTTTTTATTGCCAAAAAAGATACAGTTACACAAATGATTATACCAAGGAGAGTAGTTTCATACAGTATATACTTGAAAAGGAATTTGCAGTTTTTCTTGGGGATTATTACTGCATAGAGTATGTGGCCAAAAGTTGAAGAAAGCCTATTGTGTCTCCAGAGAAAGCTGTCTGGCAAGCGTCCCTACAGTGATGGCACTTGAGTCAGTGGTATTTGGGCCTAAAGTCTAAAAATGAATTAATTATTTTTTTAAATATCAGCGATATTTGGCAATAGAACAGAGTGAGTTTACCAGATCTCTGTAGCCTGCACCTCATCTCTGCTTGAGGCCAGCATCTCGAGACTACATTAGCCACTACTAACATAGCGACCTAAATCTCTGACTGAACTGTCGCTGGCAATGTTGAATTATAAGTAAAGTAGACATCAATTTTTTTTTGCAAAATAGGATGCAGGCAATAAAAAAAAATTTTAATCATCTTTTAAAACCTGCTATGTGAGTGCAACAATATTATAGGAGCACAATGCTCTATCAATGGAGTTTGATTATTTTTAATGAATTAAAGCTAGCATTAAGACTAATCATGTCTGTACCCTATTGGCCAACAAAAATGTTGCAAAACCGTGGTTTATATTTAGTGAAAATTCTTACCTTTAATATTAACTACAACTTCAGCATGATAAAGGGTGAATAAATATTATGGTCCTGGCAAATAAACTATGGTTAATGTAGGACTGAGGTTAGGCAACAAAAACAATTGGTTAAGGGTAGAAAAATATCATGGTTAGGCTGAAAAACCTTAGAAGAAGGTATCTGCACGTAATCTTAGGTAGATGATGTTTCAACTCTCATCCAAGAGGCTTCATCACTTTTGTCTAGCTGGTAAAAATTTCAAATTTATAGCTTCATAAATTGCTATATAACAAATCAAATTTATATGCTCAGATACCCATGTAGCAAAAAGCCAAACAAAAAGAGCTTTGAAGTCATGCAGACTATAAGGCAGCCATACGCCATAAGAAGAACAGTGCTATTGTCTGTCATCATATGAAAATGTAAAACCAGTCAGTAGCTGTTCTATAGCTGCTGAGTTATTATAGCTAGACTTAAGCAGCAGAGAAGACACTACTGAACTCAGGGTTTTAATGTTTTTCTCGTTCCTATGACTTATTTCAAAACATCTATTTGTATATAGCATACAATTGATAAGTGAGTCTTGTTTACCTATTTGATATTGTATGATTTAATGCAACTATTATCATTTCCCATTCCCAGAGGATACATATTTAGACATTTATGCAATAAGAAAAGCTGGGGCTACATAATATTATTTTAAATTTTACCTTAACATAGTTATATATGAATATGCATATTGCACCTTTCATAGTTGACATATTTTTGTTTGTTTGTTGTTATTTTGTCATGTGAGATTACTGTCTTGATATTTTTACACTTGTATATCAGGGTTAGGGATAAAGATGCTTTACTGTTTTGCAGATTATGTCTTAGTCTATACTGTACTGTATATTCCTGACATAGTGTTTCTTTCATTGGCACTGATCCTGGATTTTGCTACTTATAGTAAAAGTCAGTACCTCTCCCTCAGCATATTAACCTTTTTGCTCTGATCTTTTCTCTGTAGAAAATCTACCCTAGATCATGCCGTTTATAATATATATAGTGTAGTGCTGAAAGCTTTAGGAGCCATGTTGTTTCACATTGTATACTTATTTGTTGCTATTGTCATTTTAACATGGATCGTCATGTATTTCTGAGTGCCCTGGAAGAGTTACAGTATATATAATGTGACGTGTTTTGTATTACTAGCTTTAAAAAGGCACACTAGTGCAGACACATCAGCTTATGGAATAATGTCTGTGTTGCATTACTACCAAAGTGCTCCTGCTGTTTGCTTCTTACAATTATTTCATTCCCTTTGTCTTTTGGGCAGAGCCTCCAAAAATGTCCTACATGGTTATGTAGTATATATTTATGTATTGATTCCTTTTGTGCTGACAAGGTTAACACTTTGCTTATTGGCAAAATCTATTGATTATAACAAACATTATTATTTTATTCGAGTTTATACTGTATAAGTTAACCACTATAACAGTACAACCAATTTGATTTGCTCAGTTTAACAGAAGTATCCCAGCCTGTTATTTCAATTATACTCAAATGTCAGCTAAGATAACTCAGTTAATGGGTACCTAATCTCAGCTGGTTATATTTTCACTTTTTTCAAGTGTATTGAATGTGTTTGTAAGGGAATAAATGAGTGAAAAATGTAGAAACAGAGAACAAAGCAAAGATTGAGTTATAACACAGCAAGAAGGAGGAAACGTGTGTTACATGTAATTAGCCGAGGTCAGCCGGGAACTCTCGTTGGGGTGACATAACCTTTAGCAAAAGGGAAACATTCATCACCCTGCGGGACCACTGCAACACACAGTTATTCTGTTCTGTGGTGTGTGCTTGTCCTTCAATCCAAGGTGAGCATCATTCACACTGAGAGAGAGTCAGATAACCAGATAAACAGCCAGCTTCAGACTGAATTATAGAATTACACAGCAATATGAGAGGTTAATATTTAAAATCATAGAGGACACAATGAGCAGGACTTGTGCTATATTTGGAAGATACACTTATTTGTGTTCTTGCTGAGAATCAGATGACAAGATTGCAAGCTTGTGATTTGGATAAATATGAAGCCAGCTAGGGTTAGCTTAGCTTAAAGACTAGAAATCTACCACAAAGTGCTGTTTAAGCTCAGTAGTAAGGACTCCTAATATTATTTGCTTAATCCATACAAAGAACAAAGTACAAAGGGTTGTAGTTATGTGGCAGGCTGCTTGGTGTGTAATTTCTGAACAGAGTGAGACTTACTGCCTGTTTCCAGTGGGCTATACTAAGCCACTGGCTACTGGTAACTGACTGCTGGCTACACACTCAGCTATTTGTTGTATGGTCAAAAGAGTGGCATCAGTCATATCATCTAATTAAAAAAACAAATGTGTTTCACAAAATCTACAACTAATTATTTAGGTATTATTGACAAATCCGCTCCTTTTTGCCTCTTGTTCAGCTTTCATCTAATTCAAATATGTATTATTGAAACTGCATTAACCAATAGAAAATGAATCTCTTGCCCTATAATTGAAATATACAACTGTCAGCACCTAGAGCAGCACTGTGCACAAATAACTGCTCACCCCCAGTGTGTGTGTGTGTGTGTGTGTGTGTGTGTGTCCACTGGCAACACAAGGTTGCCATGGGAGACAACCCATTGAGCCTATCCTCATCCTCTCATCCCTTACTTCTCTCTTTCATCTCTCCTCTCCTCTGTTATCAATTTAACATTAATCTTTTGATTTTGGCACTGTTCAGTGTTTTACTTTGCACAAGTCCTATGGTTTGTATTGACACACTGCAGATTTTCACCTGATAGAAGATTTAAACAACACACGATTCATGTGTAAAAATGTATTTATTTATTGTATGATAAAAAAGAAAAATCAATTGAGACGTTATTGTTTGTTTGTTTGTTGTTGTTTTTTGCAGTTTATTATACTGACGAAGTACCTGGAAGATGCAATATGTGGTGATCACAGCACGCAGCTGTATTTGGAGGCCTGCTCCATCAGTGAGAGGCAACACAGTCTTACTCATGCTAACTGATGGGCAAGTTGCCAGACTGAAAATGAAAATCAGATCTTCATTTGTGCCTCAGTGCACATCTAAGGTTGCATGTGTGTGGTGTGTAATTCTGTGCAAAGGCTATCTGTAACCTAATTGACCTTTCCACACTCCACAAAGGACGGCTCCTCCAGCCGCCTCCTTCTACCTACTATTCGCTCCCTTCTCCTCTTACACCATCTTCCTTTTACATTCTTCCGTGGCACTTCCACACCTATTGTTCTTTAGTGTGTCATCATCATTTTGTGGAAAAATGACACAATCGGCTGATTAGTCAAATCAAATCAAATCAAATCAAATTTTATTTGTATAGCGCCAAATCACAACAAAAGTCATCTCAGGACACTTTACAAAGTAAGGTATAGACCTTACTGTTATCAATATTATTACATAGGGAAAACCCAGCAAATCCCCCTTGAGCAAGCACTTGGCGACAGTGGGGAGGAAAAACTTCCTTTAAAGGAAGAAACCTCCGACAGACCCCGGCTCTTGGTGGGCGGC